GGTCGCCACAGTGGAATGAACCAGCAACTTATTCAGCATATGTTTAATACAGCCATTGCCCTTCCAGCCGCAACCCAGTACTGGAAAACACCCATAGACACTCATATTGAGAATTTAGTTTATTCAATTCACCTATAGTGCATGTGTTTGGACAAGGGGAACTGACAACTAGCCCAGCCGGGACTTGAACCAGCAACCTTCTTACTGTGAGGCGACAGTGCTAACCACTGAGGCACCGTGCCGCCATTTTTAAACTAATTAATATTAATAAAGTGTATATACAATATTTAATATGCAATAAGCTATATTACGTCACGACTATCACTGTATGAGCTCATATTTTAGGCATTACTGTAAGCATTCCTCCACTGCAGGTCGAAACAGATAGACAGCAGGAAACACAGAGCGTCTCTTCAGGTGTGTTTAATTCACTCAACACATTCCTGCAGTGATTCATCAAGTTAAACGCTCATGACTGCGTGCCGTTGATTTACTCTCTCTGGCAGATTCCTCAACCGCAGACCTCAGCAGATCCCAATGCAGGGCTCTGATGTCCCTCTACAGCCCCAAAACTCCAGCTGAAGGGGGGGTGGAATTTCCCAATCCTAGCAAACAGCAGTAAAAGAGTCTGCTTTAAAAGCCCCTGTCGTGACTGCCAAGTTTCTGAGTCACTCGCAGCCCTCAAGACTTTGTGTTTCCCACGAGACGCTCCGCAATATCTCTGTTTATTCACAATACATCCGCTCGGCTTTTCTACTCTGCTGCAAATTATAGCTGTAGCTCAATCTCTCTCTTTTTTTCTGGGAACTTGGAGAGAGGCAGGATATATGGAATTGAGCTTCAACAATACTGTATGAGCAGGAAGGAAGCGTGGGCCGAGCGACAACCTGGGAAGAGACTTCAAAACTCTTTCTTTTTAGCTTGGTGTCCCTGGAGGTGCAATAAGGCCAGATACTGCTGCAGACATTCGCTAAACCACAGCGACACTGGATCCTGATAAACAACTGTCTCTAACGTCACCCTCAATGAGTCCTCTCAGACTTGCATACTACTGAAGGGGGGTTTCTTTACCGATTTTATGATCATAATATATCCAAATGATGATGCATCTGAATGTCATTTGGAAACGACTGATTGATAAGTAATGAGACACATCTTTGATCCTATAATGATGCATCAGACAAATTATTTTTATATAAAAGAATAAGGTAAGTAGCTAGTGGTGCAGTGGGTAGAACAATCACCTCACAGCAAGAAAGTCGCTGGTTTGAGCCTCGGCTGGGTCAGTTTGCATTTCTGTGTGGAGTTTGCATGCTCTCCCTGTGTTCGCGTCGTTTTCATTCGGGTGCTCCGGTTTCCCCCACAAGTCCGAAAACATGTGGTACAGGTGAATTGGGTAGGCTAAATTGCTGTCCTGAATGAATGAGAGTGTATGGGTGTTCACAGTATTGAGTTGCAGCTGGAAGGGCCTCCGCGTAAAACATATGCTGTATAAGTTGCAACAAGCGGTAACCCCAGATTAATAAAGGGACTAATGACTGAATGAAATAATAGAAAATAACAAAATAAAAGAGACAAAATCTCTGATAATTATCATGCAACAAAACTAAGATTAAATATAAATACGCATCATAAAATTAGCCTTTTTACAAATACATATAACACTAATACTGAACCAACTGTTGTGATGCATTAGAAAATGAGGGAGGAAAAATATTAAATAAAATACTCTAAAGTAACTGGGTTGTGTGATGCACCAAAATATCTTTGGAAGTTAAAAATGTAAATATAAAAAATGTGGAGGTTAAATATAGCGATGCATCATAAAATTTGCTCTTCTATTTACATTTTGTTTTATTAAATATATAATAAAATATTAGAGTGAGATTAAAATGAAAACATGAATATGCATCAGAAAATTGGCCCATTTAAAAAGAAAATATGAAATTGTCCCTGTAAAAGTGTATATATAATATAATATAATATAATATAATATAAAATAATATAATATAATACAATATAATATAATATAACATAATATAATACAATATAATACAATACAATACAATATAATATAACATAATATAATATAATATAATACAATATAATACAATATAATACAATAATATAATATAATATAATATAATATAATACAATAATATAATATAATATAATATAATATAATATAATATAATATAATTTAATATTATAAAATACAATATAATATAATATTATAAAATACAATATAATATAATATAATTATTTAATATAATAAAATATAATATAATAAAATATAATATAATATAATATAATATAATATAATATAATATAATATAATATAATATAATATACGGCGGCGACGCAGTAGGTAGTGCTGTCGCCTCACAGCAAGAAGGTCGCTGGTTCGAACCTTGGCTCGGCTCAGTTAGCGTTTCTGTGTGGAGTTTGCATGTTCTCCGGTTTCCCCCACAGTCCAAAGACATGCGGTACAGGTGAATTGGGTAGGCTAAATTGTCCGTAGTGTATTAGTGTGTGTATGAATGAGTGTGTTGATGTTTCCCAGAGATGGATTGCGGCTGGAAGGGCATCCGCTGCGTAAAAACGTGCTGGATAAGTTGCCGGTTAATTCCGCTGTGGCGACCCCGGATTAATAAAGGGAATAAGCCGACAAGAAAATGAATGAATGAATGAATAATATAATATAAGAGAATATAATCATTTATTCATTAATTTTCCTTAGTCCCTTTCCCAGCTTAGTCTCTTATTTATCAGGGGTCGCCACAGCGTAATGAACCACAAACTATTCCAGTATATATTTTATGCATTGGAGGCAACCCAGTACTGGGAAACACCCATACACATTCACATTTAGTTTACCTAATTCACTTAAAGCGCATGTGTTTGGACTGGGGGAAACTGGAGCACCCAGAGAAAACCCACAACAACACAGGGAGAACATACAAACTCCACACAGAAACAACTGGCCCAGCCAAGGCCCAAACCAGCAACCTTCTAGCTGTGAGTCGACAGAACTAACCACTGAGCCACCATGCCACCCATAATACAATAAAATACAATACAATACAATACAATACAATACAATACAATACAATACAATACAATACAATAATATAAAATAATATAATATAATATAATATAATAATATAATATAATAATATAATATATTACAATACAATATAATATAATATAATATAATACAATAATATAATTTAATATAATATAATATAATATAATATAATATAATATAATAATATAATATATTACAATATAATATAATATAATAATATAATATAATATAATATAATATAATAATATAATATATTATAATATAATATAATATAATATAATATAATATAATATAATATAATACAATATAATACAATATAATATAATACAACATAATATAATATAATATAATTAATATAATACAATACAATACAATACAATACAATATAATATGATATAATATAATACAATATAATATAATATAATATAATACAATATAATATATTACAATACAATAATATAATATAATATAATATAATATGATATGATATGATATGATATGATATAATATAATATAATATAATATAATATAATATAATATAATATAATACAATACAATATAATATAATACAATATAATATATTACAATACAATAATATAATATAATATAATATAATATAATATAATATAATATAATATAATATAATATAATATAATATAATATAATATAATATAATATAATACAATACAATATAATATAATACAATATAATATATTACAATACAATAATATAATATAATATAATATAATATAATATAATATAATACAATACAATACAATATAATATAATATAATATAATATAATATAATATGATATGATATAATATAATATAATATAATATAATATAATATAATATAATATAATATAATATAATATAATATAATACAATACAATATAATATAATATAATACAATACAATATAATATATTACAATACAATAATATAATATAATATAATATAATATAATATAATATAATATAATATAATATAATATAATATAATATAATATAATACAATACAATATAATATAATATAATACAATATAATATATTACAATACAATAATATAATATAATATAATATAATATAATATAATATAATATAATATAATATAATATAATATAATATAATATAATATAATATAATATAATATAATATAATACAATATAATATAATATAATATAAAATAATATGATATAATATAATTTTTTTTTTAAGTTATCTTTACATGCATAAACAAACTCACACGCACACACTCAAGCACATACCAGTACATGACTATATTGTTGTTGTTTTTGTTTTGTTTTTGTTTTGTTTTTGTTTCGTTGCTTTGTATTTGTTATTTGTTGATTTTTTTTTCTTGTATTTGTATTATTTTTGCATATTCTAATAAAAAAAAAAAAAAAACTTTAGTAGCTGCATCTACAGAGAATAAAAGACATCTGATCACTTGAAAAAAAAAAAATATATATATATATATAATATAATATAATATAATATAATATAATATAACATAAATAATGGAACAACAGATGAAAAATAGCCTTCGGGCTAATTCTGGTGCATTGGGAGAAATGCTAATTAATGTACACTGTCCCTGCCAAATAAACAAATAAATAAAAAAAATTTCTCAGTCATTTTATAAATCCGGGGTCACCACAGCGGAATGAACCACCAACTTATCCAGCATTTGTTTTACGCAGCAGATGCCCTTCCGAGCTGGTCGAGGCTCGAATCAGCGACCTTCTTGCTGTGAGGCGACAGCCCTACCTACTGCGTCGCCCAATATAAAATAAAATAAAATAAAATAAAATAAAATAAAATAAAATAAAATAAAATAAAATAAAATATAATTTAATAATGTTTATGATATAATGCCAATATTATATTATTACTTCTTCTAGATTAGATATAAAGTAAAACATCCTTGTGACCACTTCACTATATGATCACATCCAATCTAAATAAGCTCACATTCTTCATAAAAGTTTGAAAATAAAAAATAAAGAGCAAGAAGGGGAGGAGAAAAGTAGGGCACATCTGGTTTCACTCACAGAGCAGTTTGTGCTGACATGCACACAAGTCACATGAAGGAGGATTAAAATGTTTTTGGACGAGTACCAGCTTGCCGTATGTGTGCAGTAAAAGTTTCATACACTCGAACCAATCCGTGCGGCTCCCTCTAAAAATAAACAATCTCTCCTTCCCCGCCTGTAGGTCTGACGTCATGCGTGAAACTCCTGCCAACTTTCAGCAGGATCAAAATCCAGAGACGCCCCCTATTCTTTCTCCAAGTCAACAGGAAAGTCAGTCGAGAAGAGCGAGACGGACAGAACAAAGCATGTCCAGCAGTCTCCCAGCACAGAACAAGATGGACAAGCAAAAGCTGAGGCCTGAGATTCCTCCTCGGGTGTCCAAAAGTTCAGCTCAGCGCCTCAGCAGAGATCTGACCTGCTCTATATGTCTGGATCTCTTCAAGCAGCCGGTCTCCCTGCCCTGCGACCACACGTTCTGTGAAGCCTGCATCACCAGCTACTGGAGCGGCCCTCGTGTTAAATGCCAGGCTGGATCTGGGTCTTGTCCACAGTGCAGGAAGGTGTTTCACGGTAAGAGCTACAGGCCGAACCGCATCGTGGCCAACATCGTGGAGAGCTACTGCCAGGGCATGGAGGAGAGCGGGGTCCGGCTGGGGGCTGTGTCGGAGCCGGCTCCTACTGCGCCACTCTGCATGCGCCACAGAGAAGAGCTGAAGCTGTACTGCGAGGAGGACCAGGAGCTGGTGTGTCTGGTCTGCGGGATCTCCCAGGACCACCGCGCTCATACACTGGTCTGCGTGCAGGATGCGCAAAAGAGGTACCGGGTAAGAAGAGAAGCTTCTGAAAACAATACAACATACTGTAGAAAGCAGCTGGTGTAACTTAATATACTTAATTATGATATGCATTTCCACACATTTGATTGATTTGGATTGTTATTTCAACTTAATTTAGGTAAATGCACTTTAAATAGTGATAAGGACTGTACTAAATAAAGTATTTTTCACTTCTGAAATACTCTTAAGCACTTACAACAGAAGCACTAGATAAGAAGTGGAGCTTCTCAAAACAAATACTTAAAACATTTGACTCGAATTGTGTTATTTCAACTTAATTTAGGCAAATGCACTGTAAAAGGGATCACTTACACAAGTTGCACGAGTGGACTATACTTAAGTCAACTATTAACTATACTTTACAAGTGCAAAAACTTGCTGTAACATGAAACTGTTAAGTATTGCAATTATTCCCTTGCAAACAGAGGTACCAGGTGGGAAGTGGAGCTCCTGAAAACAATCCAAAAATATTTGGTGTAGCTTAGTATGCTTGGAAGATGAATTCCCACACAATTGATTTGCTATGCTAATTTAACTTAGTTTAGGCAAATGTACTGTAAAAAGTGATTACTTAAAAAAAAGCAAGTAAACTTATTCTAACTTGAAACTGTTAAGTTGAATTAACCTGATTTCTATAAATATGAACATAGTTGCTTTACCTATTAATTTTAAGATTTACTCACTTTAAGTGGTCAACTAATCACTTTAAAATCAACAGGTTTATAGACTTTAAATAAAGTCAATTAATTGCTTTAATAGCAACAGGTTTACTCACTTTAAGTAAAGTCAACTTATCTCTTTAAAAGCAACAGGTTTACTCACTTTAAGTAAAGTCAACTAATTGCTTTAAAATCAACAGGTTTAATCACAAAGTAAAGTCAACTGATCACTTTAAAAGCAACAGGTTTACTCACTTTATGTAAAGTCAACTAATCGCTTTAAAAGCAACAGGTTTACTCACTTTAAGTAAAGTCAACTAATCGCTTTAAAAGCAACAAGTTTAATCACGTTAAGTAAAGTCAACTAATCGCTTTAAAAGCAACAGGTTTACTCACTTTAAGTAAAGTCAACTAATTGCTTTAAAAGCAACAAGTTTAATCACGTTAAGTAAAGTCAACTAATCGCTTTAAAAGCAACACGTTTAATCACTTTAAGTAAAGTCAACTAATCGCTTTAAAAGCAACACGTTTACTCACTTTAAGTAAAGTCAACTAATCGCTTTAAAAGCAACACGTTTACTCACTTTAAGTAAAGTCAACTAATTGCTTTGAAAGCAATAAGTTTAATCACGTTAAGTAAAGTCAACTAATCGCTTTAATAGCAACAGGTTTACTCACTTTAAATAAAGTCAACTAATCGCTTTAAAAGTAACAGGTTTACTCACTTTATGTAAAGTCAACTAATCACTTTAAAATCAACAAGATTACTCCATTTTTAAAGTCAACTAATTGCTATAAAATCAACAAGATTACTCAGTTTTTAAAGTCAATTAATCGCTTTAAAATCAACCAGATTACTCCATTTTTTAAAGTCAAATAATCGCTTTAAAATCAACAGGTTTATCCTCTAAGTAAAGTTGCTTTAAAATCAAGAGGTTTAATCACTTAGTAAAGTCAACTATCGCTTTAAAATCAACAGGTTTACTCACTTTATTAAAAAAAATCTACTTAGCACTTTAAAAGAAAAGGGTTTACTCACTTTTTAAAGTAAAGTCAACTAATTGCTTTAAAAGAAAAGGGTTGACACCTTTTAAGTAAAGTCAACTAATCGCTTTAGAAGAAAAGGGTTGACACCTTTTAAGTAAAGTCAACTAATCGCTTTAGAAGCAACAGGTTTATCAACTTTTTAAAAGTAAAGTCAACTAATCGCTTCAAAAGCAACAGGCTTACACACTTTAAAAGAAAAGTCTACTTATCAGGTTTAAAAGCAACAGGTATACCCACTCTTTTAATTGAATCTACTAACTGCTTCAAAAACAATAGGTCTGCTCATTTTTTAAGTCAGCTCATCAAATGAAAAGCAACTGGACAGTATTTGAGTGACAGGTTTTGCTTTTTTTAATTTCTGAGAGTGTGTACAGATCTTGCACTTTCGGTTTCAGCTGAGAGCTCAGTGTGTTTGTGTTGAACAGGCGTCTCTGACTACATCTGCAAACGCCCTTCAGAAAGAGCTCAACACGGCTCTGGAGTGCGAGAGAGAGACTGAAGAGGAGGTCAAGAAACTCAAGGTGAACTTAACACACTCGCAGCACTCCAAATTCAATTGGATTCAGAGGTGTTTTAAAGGATACACTTTAAAAAATAAATCTTCCTCATTGGGATGGATGGTTTCATGAAGAAAGTTTTCAAATGGTGCACATACTTCATGTACCTAAAGGACAGGACCAGACAGAATCTGCTGACATTTTTTGGTATTTCTGCACCGATTTTTGTTTTAAATCTGTAAATTTATGTGAAAAATGTAAAACATGAAATAAAAATAATAAATTTAAACTTTGTAATTTAACGTTTACAAGCAAATCTAATTTCAGATCAATTTGCTTGGTAAACAAAGCAAGTTTTTCATAAAATATATCTACTAAAAGAAAGAAGAAACATTACTTTACGAACTGTATTGTAATAAATCTTATAGTATTTTGCATATTATTTAATAATATTACTGAAATTAACATAAAAATAAAATGAATAGATGTTTACACACATTTAAATAAGTAAACAAATAAACTTAATGATACTGTAGATAAAAAAAAATGTGTGGAAATGTGTGCAGGTTCTGTGTGGGCCTACTAAACGCTGCTTTTACGGTATGGTGTGGTTCAGTATGGCTCACTTTTGGGGGCTTTACCAATGAATTCTGAATCTAATACCACTAGTTCTTCTAGGTACCACCTTGAGTGAGGTTCCAAGTAAGTCATACCACTACCAAAACATGATGTCTACACACTGCTGATTACTGACTGGTCTGAGAAGTATGTCACTGCCAGAATCATATGTAAATAGTCAGCAGGCATTGCTCAAGGACACAATTCCAGCAGCGCAATAACAGTGATAATCCAACCCATTTTAATCCATTTAAGCACCCCGGCAACTACAGTTACAGATGCTCATTGTTGCCATTTTCCTTTCATAAGTAACTTTTTACATGTTATCTATGTTAAATTTCTTAATGACATGCAAGTAACCAACCAAATATAAGACTTCAAGAAAGAAAAAAAAAATTGATTGGAGCTTGGGCGGATGCGCCGCGCCCCGAACTGATCGTATGGATCGAGCATGCTGTTGTTAATATTAGGAGGAAAATAAATATATTTATGCTTTTTTAAAGTCAAACACTTTGGAGAACATTTAAGACCTCATCAAAATGCTATTAAGACTTTTTAATACCTTTTAAGGGCCTTCATTTTCTCATTATGTATTTATCAACTTTTAGTACATTCTAAGACCCAGCGGACACCATGAGTACACTATAAATCACTGGCATAACTGAAAAAACCCTTTATGGTTCCTCATGGCACCTTTACTTTTAAATAAAGAGCAATAATGTACTGTTCATTTCGTTGTCAAGCAAGTGGTTTTTTCCTCTGAAAACAAAAGACAACATTCTGAAAAGCAGCTGGTCACCAAACAGTTAATGGTGGTCGCTGACGTCCATTGTTTCTTTTGTTTACATTGGAGGCAGGAAATAAACATTTTTTTTTTAAATATCAGAAGATAGGACCTCATACATGTTTGGAACAAGTAAAGTCTGAGTGCATGATGAGATGATTTTCCTTTTAGTGAACTGCTCCTTTAAAACCTGTTTTGTTTTGCTGAGTGATTCATCAGCTCCAAACCTAATTCTCTGCGGTGGAAAAAACAATGCTGACCCCATTCTCACAATACAGATCTCAATACAGATTTTCCAAAGTATTCTGTGTTAAACAAGCAAGATAGATTGCAGATGGTGGAATAGCTGGAAGAACAATGCAATAAAATGTATACTTTCCAGCAAAAAAATACTAGTACAAATTAGGTATACACAGCTTTAAACATAATTATTAACCCTCCTCTGAAACTTTTCATTCTTTTTAAAATATTTTCCAAGTGATGTTTAATGGACAGAAGATTTTGTTAACAAATATACATATATTATTTTATAAATAGATTTTATTCATATTATTTTAGATAGCAAAGATACTAGCTTAAAGGGCACTTTAACAGCTTAACTATGTTTATTAGGTTAACTAGGCAAGTTAGGGTAATTAGGCAAGTCATTGGACAAGTCAGTGATTTGTTCTGTAGAAAATCATTTTAAAAAATAAAGGGGGAAAATCATTTTTTAAATACAGAACTTTTTAAGCAAACCAGCAGAAAAATATAATACACAATATTGTGATAAATTACATTGCTCTGTTAAACATGACTTTATTTTCTCTACTTTATTATTTTAACATTTAAATTTCACAGAAGCTAATCATTTTGACTTCATTTGGATACACATATATCACTCAATATCTGTTTATTAAGATGACTTGACAAATTCATTCATTCATTTTCTTGTCGGCTTAGTCCCTTTATTAATTCGGGGTCGCCACAGCGGAATGTACTTACCCAACTTATCCAGCAAGTTTTTACGCAGCGGATGCCCTTCCAGCCGCAACCCATCTCTGGGAAACATCCACACACATACACACTCCGGACAACTTAGCCTACCTGCAGCATGTCTTTGGACTGTGGGGGAAACCGGATCACCCGGAGGAAACCCACACGAAGGCAGTGAGAACATGCAAACTCCACACAGAAACGCCAACTGAGGCGAGGTTCGAACCAGCAACCTTCTTGCTGTGAGGCGACAGCACTACCTACTGCGCATTGCCTATTTTTCCACTGATGTTTTATTGTTTTAAAATCTTTAGCAGTTTATAATAAAAGCTAAAGACCCATTTTTTCCATCAACACTTTATTCTGCAACTCTAGCACATCCTATTCAAAACATCATTGGTTGTGTCAGAATTATTCTCCCCCCTGTGAATTTTTTTTTCTTTTTCATATAATTCCCAAATGATGTTTAACTATAATATTTTAAGTCGTATTTGTTTTATTTTGGCTAGAATAAAAGCAGTTTTTAATAATAAAAAAAAAAGTCAATTTTATTAGCCCCCTTAAGCATTGTCTACAGCAGGGGTTCCCAAACTTTTCAGCCCGCGACCCCCAAAATGACAATGCCAGTGACTCGTGACCCCCAATATTCTCTGAGGTGGTGGTTATAAATACAGAAACCTTGTATGCAATGACGTGCACAAACACACCAATAGTCAGTGCTGTAAAGGGGCTAGAAAGTTTAACCTGGTGTTACAAAATCTGCTGCATCTGACAGTATTGCTGTGTCTTTAGTATAATGTAATTACCCGAGAAGTCGCAATCCAATAGAACTATAACTATAAGCTACTATTGTAACTATATAGTTTATAGTAACTATAAACGACTATTTTTTTCTCTTCAGTAGGTTATTGATAAAATACAGTAAGTCTTAAGGTTTAATAAAAATTTATTGATTTTTGAAAATCACCAAGCGACCCCCCTTCATTGTCCTGCGACCCCTCGGGGGGTCCCGACCCCCACTTTGAGAACCTCTGGTCTACAGAACAAATGACTGTAATACAATAACTTGCCTAATTACCCTAATTAACCCAGTTAAGCCATTAATTGTCACTTTAAACTGAATACCTTCAAAAACATCTAGTAAAATATTATGTGCTGTCATCATGGCAAAGATAAAATAAATCAGTTATTAGAAATGAGTTATTAAAACTATTATGTTGGGAAAAAAATCAGAAATTGGGGGAAAAAATGCAAAGAATTCCAATTTAACTGGAGATCTAATAACTCTGTATATAAAAACTTGCTACATAGACGATAGTAGATTAACCGAGATGAACCGCCAACTTATCCAGCATATGTTTTACACAGCAGATGCCCTTTCAGCTGCATCTCAATACTGGGAAACACTCATACAGTACATTCTCACGCACACACATTGGTTGAAAAACAATGTTAAAGGAATGAATGTGAATGTGAAATGCTTTGACACCTGATCTCCCGGTTGTCAGGATCACACAGCAGACCTGAAGCAGAGGATCGAGGCTCAGTTCAGCGAGCTCCACCAGTTCCTCTACCAGGAGGAGAAGCTGCTGCAGGTGAAGCTGAAGACGGAGGAGCGCAGAGAGCTGATCCGGCTGGACGAACACAAGGCTCTGCTCAGTGTAGAGATCTCACGCCTGCGCAGAGCTGTGAACGACATCGAGGACAAGCTGAGCGAGCAGGATCCATACACACTGCTCAGGGTGAGGACATAGCACACACACAACAAACAGTTTACACTACATAGGTGTAATGTGTACTGTATTGTAATGTATCACACGTCTGTATTACATACGTATATCGCATATAATATTTTCGCGATAGCAGTAATTTTGCGATATATTGTGCAGCCCTTTAAAACTGCGTACTATTACTTCCAGGAAACTTTTAGCAAAATTTGAATAACAAAAGACGATTTTACGATTTTAATTACGATTAATTACGATTTTAATTGTTTTGAATTACAGTAAACCACAGTAATAGAGTACAACTAAGTCTAGCCAAGTCATTATACAACTTTGCGTCCCTGTAAATCACATATACCTGTACATACACACACTGAACCCAGAACACTTTTGCTTTTGGTAATTTTGGTTACACTTTAGATGAAGGGGGTGTTCATAAGACTCTCATAAAACCTTTATAATCATGGCACTATTATAATGGCTTCATGGCAATCATGTTTATGACAGATTTATGACAAGCCTTGTTTTCTGGAATAAGTCAAGTTGTTATGATAAAGGCCGCATTCAAAATCGCATACTTTCCTACTATATAGTATGTGAAAAGCCGTATGTGAGCCAGTAGTGTGTATTAATTTATTGTATTGGAAATACAGTAGGCGAGAAATACTCGAATGACCAAGTACTTCTGGACAGATATTGTAGTGTGCATCCAATAGACACTATCCCATGATGCCACGTGGAAGAATTCATGAAAGGTTGTGAAGCAACACAACTTATGCAGCTAATTCACTTCATAATGACTAACTGTGGATGTAGTATGTCCGAATTCTCTCCATACTATAGACCATTTTGAGGGATGTAAACAATAACAATAGTCTTAATGTACTTCCTGTTCTACATTTTTATTTTTCCATAGCTTCCAAAAAGGTCTGCATATTGATAAATGATGTTATGGCAGCTGTTTTAACGTCAAGTTATGATTGAATTGCCTCTTGTTTAAGTTATGAAATAGTTTGACAACACGCAGGAAATGTTCATGGGCCAAAATGACATCACCACCCTGAAATGGTCTATACAGAACTTACTTTCCTAATGGTCGTGTAGTAAATTGAAACTAAAATGCAGTACCTTCTCAAGTACAGTAGTCCGCGATTTCGGACACAGCCAAAATGATGTATTTATATCGAGACATCTCAAATGTTATCTTTGCATTTAAAATTACATAACACATGACACTTAATGACATAAGTTCTCATAAGCATGGATTAAATCTCCTTCATATTCATAACGTCTCATGTCATTTCCGTCTTCCGAACATCCCCTTCTGGTAAAGTGTTAGCAGGATTTTGATGGTAAGAGTATAGTAATGAGTGTGTAAACAGTGAGATCCTTCAGCCGATAATGCAGTTAGAGCAGGAACTTCATTCAGTCAACTCCACAGATTCACTGAACCTGCCTTTAAGCAGAGAAACAGTGATAAATTTCATCAATCATAAATAAATATAAAAAAAAGTCAAATAAAAAATAATATAATATGTAAGAATAATATAATCATAACTGTAAAAACTGCAGTGTGTGTGTATACAACAGTAGTCAACATTTAAAGTGGAATTCTGTGTGGAGTTTGCATGTTCTCCCTGTGTTGGCATGGGTTTTCCTCAATCCAAACACATGCGCTATAGGGCAATTGGATGAGCTAAATTGTCCATAGTGTATGAGTGTAAATGAGTGCGTATGGGTGTTTCCCAGTACTGGGTTGCAGCTGGAAAGGCATCCGCTGCGCAAAACATAAGCTGGAATAGTTGGTGGTTCATTCCACTGTGTGGGAGTTAATACTGGTACTTAAAAACTTATCTCTGTTAAACAACACTTTGAAAATATTTTTAAAAGACTTAAAAGTTCACAAGAGTTCATAATTTTGACTTCAACTGTATATAAAAATACATATATTTTTTTATAATTGACATGACGATACTTTATGTAATGTGTACACATGTATCTTTTTATCAAATTTAATTTGTAAAAAATATTTTATTTATACAAATAAATCTATTGTATAAACACATATAGTCATAACTCTAAAACAAAATCTTTTTTTTATGAATAGTAATTAAAATGTAAACTATGACTATCACTTTTTAATATAGTATATTCATAAACATTATTAAATACTTTACAAATAATATTAATGATTTCCCAGTACCGTGTTGCGGCCAGAAGGGCATCCGCTGCATAAAACATATGCGGGAATAGTTGGCAGTTCATTCCTAGATAAATAAGGGACTAAGCTGAAGGAAAATTAATTAATGAATGATTGCTTCAACAAAATAAATTTACACAATATTTACTCACACTCAAGTGGTTATAAACCTTTATGAGGTTCTTTGTAATGTTGAACATTAAAGAAGATATTTTGATGAAAGCTGAAAACCTGTAACCATTCACTGCTATACAACAAATACAATGGAAGTCAATGGTTACAGGCTTCCAACATTATTAAAAATATCTTCTTTTCTGTTTAACAGAAACTTTAAAAAAAACTTTTCATTTTTGTATGAACTATACCCTTATGACATGTTATGTACAATGTTATATCAATATAATATTGTATAAAACATGTCATAAAGAGACAGTTCACCCCAAAATAAAAATCACATAATTTTATTCTGGTGAAAAACAAAAGACATTATATTAAATAATATAATGTCTTTATGCAGAACATAAAATTGCCAACATTTCTGAAACAAGTGAATATTGAGTTAATGATGACAGAATTTTCATTTTTGGGTGACTATTGCTTTAAGAAATTTAAACTTCTTCAGCTTAGTCCCGTTATTCATCAGGGGTTGCCACAGTGGAATGAACAGCCAACTTTTCAAGCATATGTTTTACACAGCAGATGCCTTTCCAGCTGCAACCTAGTATTGGGAAACAACCATATATTCTCACATTTACACACACTCTTACACTATGGCCAATTTAGTTCACCCAATTCACCTATAGCACATGTGATTGGACTCTGGGGGAAACCAGAGGACCCGGAGGAAACCCACGCCAACCTCCACACAGAACTGCTAACTGGCCCAGCCAGAACTCGAACCAGTGACCTTCTTGCTGTGACGCAACAGTACTAATCACCGAGCCACCGTGCCACCCTTGATGAATACATTTAAAACAAAATAAATAAAAAGAACATTGCTCATAGCAAGTCTTAATCCCTTTAAAGGGATAGTTCACCCATAAATGAAAATTTACTCACTATTTACTCGCCCTCATGTGGTTCTAAATCTTTATAAGGTTATTTCATCTGTTGAACATTAAAGAAGATATTTTGAAGAATGTTGAAATGTAATGTGTATTTATATAGCGCATTTATTGTGTATGGCCATACACCCAAAGCGCTTCACAATCATGAGGGGGGTCTCTCCACACCACCACCAGTGTGCAGAATCCACTTGGATGATGCGACGGCTGGATGATGAGGACAACAGCGCCAGTGCGCTCACCACACACCAGCTATTGGTGGAGTGGAGAGACAGTAATAGAGCCAATTCGGTGGAAGGGGATGATTGGGAGGCCATGATATTAAGGGCCGATAGAGGGACTTTGGCCAGGACACCGGGGTTACACCCCTGCTCTTTCACGAGAAGTGCCATGGAATTTTTAATGACCAAAAACCAGTAGCCATCGACTTCTATACAACAAATACTGTGGAAGTCAATAGTTACAGGTGTCCAACATTTTTCAACATATTTTTTTTTTCTGTTTAACAGAAGAAAGAGACTCATAAAGAAAGATTGAAACAAGTGAAAGCTGTGTAAATGATGACAGCGTTACAATTTTTGGGTAAACTATCCCTTTAAGACCATGTTTCTCAACCATGTTCCTAGAGGCCCATCAACACTTCATGTTTTGGATGTCTCCTTTATCTGTTACACTCACTACAGGTCTTTCCGTCTCTGCTAATGAGCTGATGATCTGAATCAGGTGTGTTTGGTTAAGGAGACAAGGAAGAGCTGGTGGTCCTCCAGGAACATGGTTGAGAAACACTGCTTTAAGACATGTCATGTACGTTCACCCCAAAATGAAAATCCCATAATTATGTTCTGGGTAACACAAAAGACATTATATTAAAGACTGACTTCATTCAGAAGAAAAAACTCCCAACATGTTCAGAACAAGTGAATGGTGAGTTAATGATGACAGGATTTTCATTTTGGGGTGAACTGTCCCTTTAAGACATGGTATGTATAATTAGTTTTATTTATATAGTTCACCCCTAAAAACTCCGTCATTTTGTCCTGTTAAACACAAAAGCCATTATATTAAAAAAAATTCTTTATTTAGGACAAAAAACTCCAAGAACAAGTGAATGGTGAGTTGATGGCAGAATTTTCATTTTTGGATGATCTATCCCTTTAAGACATGCTACTGTAGGTACAACTTTCCATTTCTATTAGAAGTTACTATTCTAGCTCACCCCAAAATGAAAATTCTATCAAATTCTGTAAAGTGAAGGGTGAATAAATGATGACAGAATTTTCATTTTTGAGTGAACTGTCCCTTTAAATCATCACTGCAACAGTTAACCGGACAGTGAGATTTCATCACTCAGATCAGCACAGGACTCAATCTAATGACCTCACCCTCGCAATAGGAAGATAATGCCATTAGTTCAGCGCAGGGGGATTTTCCAGATCGGCGGATAAAGAAAGGAGAGCAGTTCACTTACAAAACACTGATCTCATGTGGAAAACTTGTGGCCCTCGAGCCTCCGCCGCTTTCACCAATCTGCTCTTTCCTGTCTTTCTGCAGAGCATTAAGGGTCTGCTTCAGAGGTGAGTGGCTCTTTTCCATTGATACGCTCTCTAATGTTTTGATGAGGATCTGCGTGAATTGTTTTGGTGTCTGGGCTTCTGTTGTTTTAAGCAGGCAGCCACCCAAGTTCGAGAGGCCGACGCTGACGCCGCCCAGCCTGTGCGAGGGCCGATTCGCCGGGCCCCTGCAGTACAGAGTCTGGAAGTCACTCAAGGGCAGCATCTATCCAGGTCAGAGAAAAGAAAAAGATAAATAACTTTAAGGGAAGAAAAACATACAGTTGATATGCAATTATTCAGGCGAGGCAGTGGCGCAGTAGGTAGTGCTGTTGCCTCACAGCAAGAAGATTGCTGGGTCGCTGGTTCGAACATCGGCTCAGTTGACATTTCTGTGTGGAGTTTGCATGTTCTCCCTGCCTTCGCGTGGGTTTCCTCCGGGTGCTCCGGTTTCCCCCACAGTCCAAAGACATGCGGTTCAGGTGAATTGGGTTGGCTAAATTGTCCGTTGTGTATGAGTGTGTGTGAATGTGTGTGTGGATGTTTCCCAGAGATGGGTTGCGGCTGGAAGGGCATCCGCTGCGTAAAAACTTGCTGGATAAGTTGGCGGTTCATTCCGCTGTGGCGACCCCGGATTAATAAAGGGACTAAGCCGACAAGAAAATGAATGAATGAATGAATGAATGAATGCAAATATTCACCCTCCTGTGAATATTTTTCTTTAATATTTCCTAAATGATGTTTAACAGAGCAAGGAATTTATCACAGTATTTCCTATAATATTTTTTCTTCTAAAAAAGTCTTATTTGTTTTATTTCGGCTAGAATAAAAGCAGTTTTTAATTTGTAAAAAAAACATTTAAGGTCAATGTTATTATCCCCCATTAGCAGTAATTTTTTCAATAGTCTACAGAACAAACCATCATTACCTTCTCTTGCCTAATTAACCTAATTAAGCCTTTAAAGGGCCACGAAACCCCTCTACCTCAGCAGGGTGTTTTCACACCACTGATTTGAAAAAAGTCAGGAAAGTGGGTGTGTCTAGCTCTGTTTAGGTGGGAGTGGAAAGAGGGAAGGTTTTGCATAAAAATGGGAGTTTACGTTTGGGCACATGCTGATTTCACAAAACAACAAGGCAAGGTAACACACGGACACAGGGGAGAAAGACAGTGACTATGTTTACATGGACATCAGTAATCAAATTACTAGCCAAATTATAAATTTTTCGACCTTAACTGAAATTTGGTACTTTCACTTTCATTTAGTAACATTTCATGCATACCCCCGGGGCCAAACAGGATATTGGTTGCGAGGAACTGCTGGAAGAGTGTTCTTTTAATGGAATGTTTGATACCGAACAGCGAATGGGAAAAAAAAAAAAAAAACGTTTGCCTTTCTCTGTACCTTAGATGTACTCTGTAGGTAGCGTCAGAAAGCTGTGTGATTAATGCGTTTACATTCGGAGAGCAGCATTTACAGCGGATCTTTCAGTCCATAATATTGTAGTGATGTTAATGTACCGAAAACTTAGTAACTAAATCATTTTGACTAAGGGGTCCTTAAACACTGAAAGAGTACTGCTGACGATACAAACTAACTTTGCCTCTGAATGAACAAACAAAGACCTCTGATCGCTCACTTACCAGATCTGTAGAGACAGGACAATCAACACCAACTGGAGCCGCATCTTTTTTTAAAAGGAAATGAGCAGCAAATCCGGATTTCACCGTTTATAGATGAAAAAAGCTCTCGAGTAAAAAATGTTTCTTACAAACATATTTCTGTCACGTGCACTGTAGTCCACACGTGAGTCCAGCTGCGGAAAATGAAAACAAAACTCGGCTCATTTATAAACGCAACACTGACGACTTGTATCTCCAAACAATTCTTCTTCTTCCATTTGTTTTGTCTACGCAACGCGGCGTCTCTTTGCTGTCTGAACACATTAACAGGTAAAAACAATCTTCGAAGCTATCATGCATATTAATGAAGTTGCACCGCATGCACAATAGAGCGTGCTGATTGGTTTGAACCAAGTCTTTTTTATGAATTAATACCGCACACTCAAATGCATTAAGTTGTACTCACGGGTACAGACAGCCATTCTACACGCAAGGATCTAATTGCCGTGACGCAGCTTAAAAAATTAGTTTGAAACCGGAAAAACGAATTTGCTCGAAAAAACGCTATAACAGTTTTCACTTTTTAGTGAAATATATGTGTCTTAATAGTGTTTTAGCAATGTGGGACACATATATGACTGTCAACAGCTCAAAAAATGTGTTTTAGTGTTTCGTGACACTTTAAATGACACTTTCAGCTGAATAACCCTCCTGTTAAATGTTAATTCTTTTTAAAAATATTGCCTATTGCTTAAATGCAGTTTAACGTTATATTTATTTATTTATTTATTTTTCTTCATTCAAAAGCACTAAAAAGTACTGGGTTCCACAAAGGGTTTGCCCAATAAACAATATTATATTGAATTGCTATAAAAAAAATTAGTCAACAACAACGATAAGTTCTGGACTTTTTCCACTCTATATTAATCTAAGAGCCAATCACACAACAGAAATGTCAAGGTTAGGGTCAGGGAATCTAAAAGTGTGTTGATATTAGAGATTTATCAGCCGAAATGATGTTATGCCGTTTAATGGACCCTCTTATTTTTGTGGATTCAGTCATTGTTGGGATACTCCTTTAAATCTGGAAGCACTTATACCGAAATATATATCGTTCTCGGTAAATATGGAAAATAGTTATCGAGATTGTATTTTTGCTATATCACCCAGTCCTAGTTCCCAACACAAATCGATTAAGTTAACTTAATTGTGGTTAAAAATTTAAGTGTACTGAACTTAAACAATTAAGTTGTCTCACCTCAAAAAACCTCAAGAATTGTGTTGATTCAGCTCATTTTAAATAAGTAGCTTGAACAAGCAGCAAAAAATAACTCTAAACTCTCCTCTCCTGCATTCCCCCCTTCTAGTTCCCTCTGCCATCACGTTTAACTCCAAAACTGCGAATCCTTGGCTGAGCCTGACCTCTTCCCTGACCTGTGTGAGATACCAGACCTTCAACAGCAGCGTGCAGGACAATCCTCAACGCTTCAACGCGGCGCTGTCCCTCATGGGCGGCCAGGGCTTCACTAAAGGCCGGCATTACTGGGAGGTGGAGGTTTACAGCAGCACTGTCTGGACCGTCGGCGTCGCTCGTGAATCCGTCACCAGGAAAGGTGTCATCAACACCATGCCTGCAAACGGCTTCTGGACGCTCTCTCTGTCGTATGGAGTTCAGTATATGGCTGGGACGTCTCCACCAACGCTGCTGTCCCTGGAGGAGCCGCTGGCCAGGATTGGGGTCTATCTGGACTATAAGAGGGGCCTGGTGTCGTTTTATAACGCAGAGAGCATGACGCACCTCTATACCTTCAGGGACACCTTCACCGAGACCCTCTTTCCATACTTTAACCTGGGCTTCCTGGATAAAGTGCACGAAAATGAGCCTCTTAAAGTGTTCATGCCCAAAATCTGAATTTTGTATCTCGTTATATACAGTTGAAGTCAGAATTATTCGCCCTCCTGTGAATGTTTATTCTTTTTTTATATTTCCTAAATGATATTTAATAGAGCTGGTATTTCAAAGTATTTCCTTTAATATTTTTTCCTCTGGAGAAAGTCTTATTTGGTTTATTTCAGCTAGAATAAAAGCAGCTTTTAATTGTTTTAGAAACATTTTAAAGTCAAGGTCAACTTAATTTATATAACAGCCCAAAACCACATAAATGTTGACCAAAGTGCTTCACAATTTATGGCAACAATAATAAACAATTTGGGAGACAGAACAATATGTGCTACAATAAAACTTAAAATCTAAAAATAAATGTAAAAAGTCAGTATAATCAATCAAGTATATAATCAAGTCCTAAAAAAAAAACAAATTTCTCTCAATAGACCTGAGAGAAGAGGCAGGTTTTGACTGATTTTTTTTAAACACTGAATGAAGATGAAGCTCTAATTTCTAAAGGTAATGTATTCCAGAGTTTTAGAGCATAGACTGAGAAGACTCTGGCTCCTTTTGTTTTCAAGCGGGATTTAGGAACAATTAGCAGGAGCTGAGCAGAAGGGATTTGTATTCTTTGGCAAGAATACAAATTTTAATTGTTCAGATATATAGGCTGGGGCAAGTTCATGTAGAGCTTTAAATGCATAAGATAAAACTTTAAAATCAGTTCTCGGTTTCACGGTAAGCTAGTGGCAAGAGGCCTGGATTGGAGAAATACGTTCTCTCTTTTTTTTGTCCCAGTCAAAAAACGTGTTGCTGCATTTTAGATCATCTTTAAGCGTGAGAGTGAAGACTGACTGATGCCAGTCTTCAGTGCATTACAAAAATCGAGAAGAGATGAAAGCGTGAATAAGTCTCCAAGTTTCTTAGTTGCTTTAGCTGACAGAGTTTATTTGCTTGTCAAATTTCAGATCTGAGAGAAAAATGACAGAGATTTTTGACACGAGTGATTATTTGAGGCTCCAAGAGAGCGCTGTATTTTTCGAGCTGAGGTTTCGAGCCAAACAGAATCAGCTGTTTTATTTTCATTTCGTTTTCTTCCATCCAAAGTTTGATGTCACTTATACAGGCTAACAGAGCAAAGATCTGAAGAAGAAAAGATGAAAAAAGGCAGCATTATTACAGATTACAGAACAAACCATCGTTATGCAATGACTTGCCTAATAAACCTAGATAAGCCTTTAAATGCCACTTTAAGCTGAATACCAGTGTCTTGAAAAATATTGTCAAATATTATTTGCTGTCATAATGACAAAGATAAAAGAAAGCTATTAGCTATCAGCTATTAGACATTAGGTATTAAAACTATTATGTTTAGAAATGTCTTATTTCTGTTAAACAGAAATTGGGGGAAAATTAACCGGGGGGGATAATTTAGAGGGGCTAATGATTCTGCCTTCAACTGTATAGTCATGTGTATTATATGTAGATTACATTTTTATATAAATACTAGGCTGGTCCTAAATTTATTTTTAAGGGATGGTTCACCCAAAGATTTTAATTAGCTAATTTATTCCCTCATGTGGTTTTAAACCTTTTTCTGCACTGAACACAAAAGAAGATGTTTTGACAAATGTTGGTTCTTTGTAGGAAGAAAAACCACTATGAAAGGCAATGGGTGCCAGCAATACATTCCTCAAAGCATTAACTTCTGTGTTCAATAGAAGAAAGAAACTCAAATTGGTTTAAAACAAGCAGAGGGTGTAAATGACAACAACATTTTTATTTTTGAGTGAATTATTCCTTTAATCGGTCAGTTACTCATAATGTCATTATATAGACATAATATTCCTGTTCAACTTTGGATTATAAAAGCTGTGAGATTTCTGTAACTCCACTGAAAGTCTGTTCACACATGATGCTTTAAAACAGTCATGAAGAGATAAATCCAGATGAAACTAATTCCAAGTCTTCTAAAGAGATTATATGATCACTTTATGAGATGAACTGATTTAATATAGGACTCTATTAACATATAACCAGGTCAACTTTATTCTTTTTTTTATACAGTAGAATCTGTTCATGTGTTTTATTTTTTTATTTAAAATAATGACCATTCATTTTGAATGACATATGATGACATTAAAAGATTAGATCACATTATAAGCCCCAAGATACCAACCAATTTATGAATAGGTAAAGTTCATACAATGTTATTTTTACCTTAAAATATTAATCATATTTATTCATTCATACATTTCCATAAGCTTTCCCAGGGGGGCAGCAGTCTCAGGACTGGTACCCCTGACCTCCCTCTCCCCAGACACTTTCCCAGGCATTCCCAGGCAAGCCCAGAGATATAGTACCCTTCCCCTAGGTCTCGTACCAGTAGGACATACCTAGAACACCTCCCTAGAACACCGTCCAAGAGCCATCCGAAACAGATGCCTGAGCTACCTCAGCTGATTTCTCTCGATGTAGAGGAACAGCGACTCCGAGCTCCTCTCGGGTGACAGAGCTCCCTATTTTTAAGGGTGTGGCCTGCCACCCTGCAAAAGAAAACTCATTTCAGCCGCTCTATCCGAGATCGTGTCCTTTCGGCCATGACCCAAAGTTCACGTCCATAGGTGAGAGTAGGAACGTAGATTGACTGGTAAAAAAAGGAGAGCTTTGCCTTTTGGCTAAACTCCATCTTTAATAAAATGGAACGGTACATCGACCGCATTACTGCTGCCGCTGCATCGAACTCCTCCACCTGGTGTAAGGACTGTAATTACTCATATTACATTTTATTATTTATTTTATTTCACCCCTGTTCTTTTATTTATTTATTTTAAAGAGGTAGAAACTTTTATTTTATCAAATTTTATTTGATGTGGCACATCACAGCTTTTAACTTATAAACAGTGAACATAAACCTAGCTCAGCATACTAGCTTGATGCTGGAGAACACACCTCATTAGTTATGCAGAGGATCAAATGCACCAGGTGACCCGCAGGAATAAACCTCATTGGTTCTTGTGAGCATGACTGAGCTTCTGCGGCCAAATTTACACACTGTAAACATTCATGGTCAATGTTTACACATGAATACAAAGCAACCGTCTCTTCAGATGATCTTTTAGGTGGAAGGACAGAAATCTCTCAGATTTGAGTAAAAGTTTCTTCACATGTGTGTCTAAAAATGAAAATGTTTCTTATGGGTTTAGGGCACAAAGCTATGGACGACTTTATATTAAGCACTTTGTTTAAATGTAAGACAATTGCTATTGGACATACTCTTTAACAACGCATTGGGTTAGTGGAAGCACATGGAAAATGAAAACGAATCTTAAAACAGTGGTTGGACGCCATGTACTATGACCCTTTCCCACTTTAAAGCTGCTATAAGTGATTTTATCTTGGTCTGCTAAAGGAAATGTTACCACAGATAGCACTGCATTTAGATTTTCTACACGGTCATGTTAATGTTATGTTATAGGTGAATGTTTGTTATTAAGTCAGCCCCTGCTGGTTGAAATCGTAACTGCTTTGTTCAGAGCAAAAAAACAAAACCAAAACCAAAAAACAAACATTGAAAATAATTCTGAAATTCCATTGCATTTTACATTAAAAACATGTTTTTGCAAACAACAAATTATCAAAAGTATTTTAGTAGATCTGTAACCACTGACTGAGTCTTATCTACGCATTTTTAAAAGCAGGACAATTGACTTACATTGGACCCATCTGCTGCTGCTTTGACGTCACTATTGAAGTCTGTTTACGTTTTTGACTTCAGTCGATCAACATGGACACCATTTTTAGACTGATTTGTGAAAAAAGAAAGAAAAAGCATCCTTCCACTTTCACTCCCTGCTAAAAAATCCAGCTTAAACCAGACTAGGATGGCTGGCTGGTTTTAGCTGGTCAACCAGCCTGGTTTTAGAGGGGTTTAATAATACATTTATTTATAATAATACATTTTATTTAAAGGCGCCTTTCTAGCAACTCAATGACACCGTACAATCAACAAGAGCAATACAACAACAAGAGAAATAATAAAATATGCACAGCAATAGTGCAAATAAAATTAAAATTAAGTATTAAAAGCCATCTTAAATAAGTGGGTTTTGAGTCTGGATTTGAACAGTGTAAGGGAGTCAATGTTTCTGATGGCAGGAAATGGTTTTGGCCATTTCCAGGCTGGTTTCCAGTCTGATTTTAGCTGGTCAGGCTGGAAAATGACCAGCCAAAACCAGTTAAGACCAACTTGACTGGCCTGGTTTAAGCTGGACATAGCTGGTTTTGGCTGAGCTCCCAGCCTGGCTAGGCTGGCCAAGCTGGTTTTAGCTGGTCATCTCCCAGCCTGACCAGCTAAGACCAGGCTGGAAATGGCTGGAAACCAGCCTGGAAATGGCCAAAACCCCTCTAAAACCAGGCGGGTTGACCGGCTAAAACCAGCCTACCATCTGGTTTAAGCTGGATTTTTCAGTAGGGTACGAGTGATATATGTAGCGCAGTAGCTAGACATCAAAATAGCTAATGTTAATGCAGGTGAAAGGAATAGTTCATTCAAAAATGAAAACTGACTATTTAGTCAACCTCAGGTGGCTCCAAACCTTTATGAGTTTCTTTCTTACTGTTAAACACAAAATAATATAAGTCTTCAGGTTTCCAGCTTTCATCAAAATATATTTTGTTTTTAAAAGAAGAAAGGCTTGTGACAAGTGAATTGTGAGTAAATTATGACAGAATTTTAATTTTTGCTTAAACTATCCCTTCAAAAATTAGATTTTATCCATAAACATAGGCCTACATGATACTATAGTATACTCAGAGAAGAAAACAAGATATTGGCTTACCTCACATCTGAACAGAACACGTGATTTTACAATGACTTTATACAATTTTAAATACAAAAATGTATAATCTCTCAAAAACCCCAATAAATGTTTCTGGTAAATATTTCATAAAATCTTTTCCCGCCTCATGATTACACAAGATCAATGCACTTACCACCACTATCACAAGAGGGCGCAATTGTTCTCCTATGTGCTTCTGTCGACGATCCCTCTAGTTTCCTGCGATTTTTATGTATTTATATTAATTATTAGACCCACGCCAAACACTTTAAACCTTTATAATTATTAAACACT